GCCGCCGGGGAGTGCGTGGGGTCTGGGGGGTGGGAGGGTGTCCGCCTTGAGTTTGTAAGTTCTCAGAGCATATAGCCCCTTCCCTCCCCTCCCCCAGCCCAGGCGGGGTTTCTTCACAAGGGGTCGGTGGAGGATATTCCCGCCACAGCTCCCCCCCATCGTAGCCGCTCCCTCCGTGACCCAAAATAATCCCGCTTTGAGATCGTGCCAGCTCAATAACGGGGTGTCCACTGCCCCACGGCCGGCCACCACCCCAAACTGCAGCGCCTGGGGAGGTGGGGAGAGATGGTTTAATGGGCTCCCTCCCGTCCCTCTGCCTTCTTCCCTATGCAGGTGACGAGGGGATCACTCGCTCTCCCGTGTGTCAGTCTCTCGGGCAGTTTTAAATATTAAAAACCACCCCTCTCCCCCCCACCCCCTTCTTTTTGTTTGTTTGTTTTGTTTTTATTGTCACATTTATGTAACAAGAGCCTGCCTGCACATTGGTGTTGCCGTCTAGGGCGTTGCATGCTCTGGGGGTGCTGTATCCAGTGCTGTGTCTGAACATTAAAAAAAATGTCTTTCCGTTGAAGAAGACAAGAGGTTAAAATGAATGAAGATCTGAAGGTTAATTTGAGCTGGCTGCCTGAGGATCATGTAGAAGCCAGCTCTACCGAGAATGCCTCAGCTGCAGGCTCCTCCCTGGTTCCTGTCGTAGACCCAGAGCCAGAGCTTTTGGTAAACCCCTGGGACATTGTCTTGTGTACTTCAGGGACCCTTATCTCCTGCGAAAATGCCGTTGTGGTTCTTATAATTTTCCATAATCCCAGTCTTCGTGCCCCCATGTTCCTCCTGATAGGCAGCCTGGCACTGGCAGATCTCTTAGCGGGCATTGGATTGATCATCAATTTTGTTTTCGCATACCTTCTGCAATCAGAAGCTACGAAACTGGTTACGATTGGACTGATTGTTGCCTCTTTCTCGGCATCTGTCGGCAGCTTGCTGGCTATTACTGTTGATCGTTACCTCTCCCTGTATTACGCTTTGACTTATAATTCAGAGAGGACTGTCACGTTTACCTATGTCATGCTTATATTGCTCTGGGGAGCATCTATCTGTATTGGACTGCTGCCTGTAATGGGCTGGAACTGCCTCAGAGATGAATCCACCTGCAGTGTTATCAGACCGCTCACTAAAAATAACGCAGCTGTCCTTTCGGTCTCTTTCTTGCTTATGTTTGCCCTCATGCTGCAGCTTTACATTCAAATCTGTAAAATAGTGATGCGCCATGCCCATCAGATTGCCTTGCAACACCATTTCCTGGCCACTTCCCACTATGTGACCACCCGAAAAGGAGTGTCCACTTTGGCCATTATTTTGGGGACTTTTGCTGCTTGCTGGATGCCTTTTACGCTCTATTCTTTAATAGCAGATTACACCTATCCTTCTATATACACCTATGCCACCCTCCTGCCGGCTACCTACAATTCCATCATCAATCCTGTAATATATGCTTTTAGAAACCAGGAGATACAGAAAGCACTTTGGCTCATCTGTTGTGGCTGTGTTCCTTCTAACCTGTCTCAGAGAGCAAGATCGCCCAGCGATGTCTGATCGGCAGCTAGGAGGATGCTCCTCACTTAACATGTTCCTTTCCAGACATTCTTGCGACGCTGTCTTTGGTTTAGATGCATTCATTAAATGGTGTGTGGTGGGTCCATCTAAAAAGCACAGGATGATGCACAACCCCAGTGACCAAAATGAATCGAGTGGTTTAAGGGAGATTTCCAAAGTCTAAATAATCAGTGTTCTTACAGTTTTGTAATGTTGCTCAGGGTCTTTTTGTTATAGCACCCAGACTTTGCCATGTTTGCCATGATTTTACAGTAAATTTGCTAATTAAAATTAGACTGAAGCAGCATACCTCCTTTGAAATTGTTTATGTGATTGAGTTTACTCATACTGCATGTTACAGTCTGTGGTCAGGGTATTTTTTTTCCCCTCTTTAATTATTTTTAAACCAAAAAAAAAAAATCCAACAAGTCCTTTCACCCCATTTGTATTTCATCAGTAGACTCTTCAAAATAATGGCCAATTATACTGATTTATATGGTATTTGTTGTAATAATGTCAGTGCAACAAATATTCTCTAAGTCAGGAAGTACTTGTACAGGTTTTTATTTTACATCTCAGCGTGAATTAGCTTGGTAATTGTTTTAAAAGGTTACCTGTTCTCTCCTGAGTTCTGGCTGTTAAAACAAGGTTTGCTTTGCCTGCCTTTTCAAAAGTCGGTTGTATGTTTCACTTAGATATGGGACATCAGAGCTCATTAATTTTGAAAGGAATTCAGGGGGGATCTTTGAAGCTAATGAAACAATGTGGCCTCTTTTGGCTGTGCATTTGCAGTAGATGCAACACTAAGTTTCTCAGAGAAGTTCATCTTTTCAGAAATGTATAAGACAATATAAAGTAAGGTACAAGTGGCTTGCAACACATATTTAGTACCTACGTGATAACAAACTTAAGGGCAATCATTTCAAGTCAAAATTACTACCACTTGTTTTTGTTGTTCTGCTATATAATTTAAAATACTAAGGTTTATAAATTCTCAGAGCGCATCTAGTTCATAATTGTATGCAGACAGAACTGCAACATGAAACAATATTTTTCTCCTTTTTTGGCAGTTTCTTCCATTACAGATTGTGATTCTTCACACTGTACACCTGTCAGTTCATTTCATAAGAGGATGATAGTTCTGGTCTAAAAAGCAGGGCTTCCTCTCATGAGTGGTTACATTTTAAACAGCTTCTAACCTTTTACTGAAGCCACATTAGAATGCACTAGAAGTAAATGACTGTTTTCTAATTTGAACACTTGATTGTCAGAGAGAAAATCTTCCTCGCAGATGTCTTTGTGAAACTTGAGGTGTACCCTTGTTGTCGGAACGTGGGGGTTCATCATACTGCTTCCATTAGTGTTGGTGGGAGCTCAGGGTGTTCATGCCCTGACATCAGTAGGACTTTTATTCCCTTGAATGTCAAAGCCAGTGTACTGCGTTGTTGCTTCAGCATCTTCCATTACAGTTTAAAGAAAAAAACAAAACCAACCAACTCAAATGTAAAAGTAGCAATATTTACAGTTCAATGAAAAAAAAATACCTGTACAGTATAGATAGTAGAGACAACTGTGTCACCGGTATGGATCTTTCCAAATGGATTCTGTCCTTTTCACATGGACGTTTGGATGACTGTAGCTTTTTGTGGCAAAGTTTCTGTGACGTTAAGAATTGTATGCTATCCACAAAGCTGAATCTCAAATGTGAATGAGTTGTCTGTAAACAAGGCTCTGTAGAGATTTTTATGAGCAATAATTAATTTTAGTTGCAATGCTGGGTTCAAATTCCATTATTTACTTGGTTCAACCTTCATAATATTTGGCTCTTACTTTGTAATCTGATTAGTTTAATAATTGCATGGCATGGTCCAGTAGAGCTGTGAACTTACAGCTCCCTTGGTTTCCCTGCAATTTACAGCTGCTCAGCACAGTTAGACTGTGGCCCCTGCTCAGTGTAGGATATTGGTGTTCTTTATCTGCTTATGAATGATAATGAAACTCTAGTCATTGCATTTTGTTACGAATTTTTGTATAAGAAATAATCACTTCATAAATATCTGTGCTGCGTATGCCCACAGTTTTGCAGGTATACAAACTATTTGGAATAAACAACAGTAGACTAAGTCATGAGTTGAATAACGCAGAGAGGCTGAATAATGTAGAGTGGAACTTTTAAAAGCAAAAAGTAAGCTAAAGTCTTGCAAAGTTTACACCCACCCCTCCTTTCCCACCCCCCCAACTTGTTCTTCCGTATCAAATTGCTAAAAAGTGTCATGAAGATCAGCAGCTACAATAGTGACCAAAATTCAGTCCTGAGTGCAACTGTTGTTTGGCTTACACAGACAGTTCTCGGTGTCGTCCCCTCTTCTCATGCTGGTTCACCTAATGTCCTTGTCATCTTCCTCACACCACAGGCTGCTCAAATCCATAGAGGCTCTCCAGAGTGCTGAGGGAGCCGACCTTTTCCTTGTGCCAAAGCCGAGAGATTTGTAATTGGAAGTTCCTCTCCTGGGGAGCCGTGCAAGTCAGACAGACGAAAGAAAGTTTCATTATAGAAGTCCCACAAAGCTAGCTCATAGGGGTGTGATTTGCCCTCATTTGAGGAGTAGCCTGTGGTTACCTTGCACCACAAACAGATGAGAAACATGACTATGCCTCCCAGGCTACTCTCTGACCTCCAGTGAGGTGTCTCTTCCAGAAATAAGTTCTTAAATTGCGACTGTGCAGCATAGGCTGGAAAATTCTTCTGGAGTTCAGTGCCAGAGATTTGCCCACTGCTGTCAGTCCAGACTTTGATATGGTTTGCAGTGCTGGGTAGATGCTGTATAACACCCCTCTGAGCCAACTCTGGGGAGCAGGGCTCAAGGGGTTGTGTCTTGATGGGCAAAATTTACTGTAGCAAATTTTTTTCATACATTCATCCACAAAGCTTGGGAGAGGATTTTTGGGTTTTAGTTGTCTTTTTTTTTTTTACCATTTCTCCTAACAGTAAGATTTCAGTAATAAGAGGAAATAAGTTTTTAGCACAAGAGCAATAAAATCCTCCACGTTGCAAGGTCTATAAACTGCTGAATAAACTTAGAGCAATAGAGAGGAAGCAATATATGCTTTAGGCAAAAAATAGTAAGTTGCATAAGGACTTTAAGCAGAAGTCTTCCTTTGATAAGCAGTTGCTATTGGACTCCTGTGGGACATTATTGCTGGTTGATTTGTGTTACAATTATAGAGTTCCTGAATAGAATCACTCAGCAATAACCTTTTACTTTAGTTCTTGGATCCTGAATCTCTGCTGTTTGCAGGAAAGAATTATGTAATGCAGTGAGGAGTTTTATTCTTTTAATTGTTTGGCATTTAGTTTTATGGCATTCTGTGGGTAAATTAATTGTGTTCAGAATTTCCAGTTGTGGCTTAGTACTGATAATACTCTTCACCAAACAAAAACTGAGAATAGCCAAATTTGGCACACGCATCAAGATGGATATGATAAATGATGCTAGCCCATTCTGAAGACACCTTGGCTTTTAAAAGAGCAGGATTATGGTATCATTGAAGAAAATCCCTACCAATATCCAGGGTATTTGGAAGCAAGCTCAAAAGTCTGCTATTGCTGCTCTACCTTCCTACCATGGACACTCAATGACATAAGCAGCTGCATCCATTCGTCGTGTTTGGGGGCCAGCCTTGAGGCATCTTGGAGTCACTAAAACCCTGCTGTGGACAGCAGTGAGTTTTGGCTTAGACCAGCAGCTGTTCTGTCCCCAAAGAGTAATTTTTATGTTGCCTCATTTTCTTAGGGATTGTTTAGCTTTTAAATTGTGCATTCATTTCTTAAAACTGAGGGAAGTTGGGATAAAATAGCATTGCTAGAAATCAGGCCCCTGAAACATAACTACACAGTCACTATTTAAAAAAAAAAAAAAAAAAAGTGGTTCTGCAGCATTCAGTACTGTATCTTCAAATGTTGCCCCTGAATTTTATAAAGAGAAAGCAGGTATGGTCTGCTTTTTATGTGGTCTGTTTTTGGTTTAGGTGCCTTCATTAAATGGTATGTGGTGGGTTCATCTAAAATGGACAGGATAATGCACAACCCCAGTGACCAAAATAAATTGAGTGGTGTAAGGGAGATTTCCAAAATCAAAATATTCAGTGTTCTTACAGATTTATGATGTTGCTCAGGGTCTTTTTGTTATAGCACCAGAAAAATGTGAACAGCGTTTGTTCAAATCATAATGCTGCAAGAAGACAAAGTCAGATAGATCCTCACTGGATATGGATCTTATGTTGTAAGAATGCAGAAATGTTTTTAAGTGCTACTGGGCAACTGTTCAAGAAAAGGTATCCGTGTGATGTACTTCTTGAAGGGACTCAAGAATGCAGCTAGATCTGTGAAAGACATAATTAAGGATGAGATTGAATGTCTACGTGTGGACTCATCATATCTCTTTGGGAGCAGATCTGAGAATCGTTTTAAGGTTTTACTTGGCTGCCTTTTGGAGCAGCTCATTCTTGAACAAGAGGTTACTCCAGTACGTACATGAAATGCAGTAAATAATCTGTCCTTCTTTACATAGCTACAAAAAGGAACCAAAGTATTTGCAGTTGGAATTCTCATTTGCAACTAGGCATCTTTGTAATGGTACCACAGGAAGCCACTTTATGAAAACAGTTTGATAACTTCAGTGGCAAACTTAGAAAAAATTTTCACGTGCTGAGTGTATTGCACACTTAGCATATTGCCTGTTTCAAGAAACCCTGTCACTTGATTGGTATTAGGCAAACAGGGCTACCCAAAAGCATGTGAAATTCGGTGTTTAACAACAAAACCAAAAAAAAGGCCAGTGCAGATAACAGTGCATTGCTGTAATTGGGAAACACAATTTTCAATAATATTTCAATTTCCTGATTATTTTTTTCTGCTTTTTGAACGCCGTTATATAAAGCGTTCTTCCAGTGCCACATGTCATTTGGCTTAGCAGTAGGTAGTCCAGAGGTGTGCAATG